CCTGTCCTGCTTAGTAGCCGACTCGTCCCGGGGTCCGCAGTCCGGTCCTCCAGCGGTCTGAGGGACAGTGAACTGGCCCCCTGTTTAAAAAGTTTGAGGACCCCTGTATCTAGCTCCTGCGTTTAGTATCTTAGGAAAGGGGACTCCACCATCTAACCAATTTTCTCCCCACCCGTGAAACTCTCTCCCTTTCATCTCCTACAGCATCGTAACCTGGTATGATGATTCTCCCTTCTAAAGAACCACTGTGTCTTACTCTGTAAATCCCTACCACTCCATCTCCCGGCCCCAACCCATGCCAACAGTTACCTTTCAAACTTGTAATTCTGACTGAAATACTTCTCTGATTAAAACGTTTCAGTGCCTCCCTATCAACTGTAGAGTAAAATCCAAACTTCTTACAATAGTCATTATAACCATAACTACTCTTTTCTGAGTGTCTATCATGTAGTAAATGCCTAGTAGTTTTGATTCTTAATTCTCTGAGGTCAATATACAGTGGAACCTCCATAGCTGACCACCTTCCTATACCCACAACCTCCTTAAGTTGACCCACTTTGCACAGACCAGACATGCACCACATGTACATATCAGTACAGGAGGCCTAGTTCCTTCTGTTGACTACCTCCATAAGCTGACCTGTTTCTTACAGTCCCTTGAGAGGTCAACTTTCACAGGTTCTACTGTAATTAGTTCTTTTAGAGAGAAGGAAAAGGAGACTTATGGAGATTAAGAATCTTCTCAGGGGGCGGTGCCTGTGGCTCAGTGAGTAGGGCGCCGGCCCCATATACTGAGGGTGGTGGGTTCAAACCCTACCCCAGCCAAACTGCAACAAAAAAATAGCCAGGCATTGGGGCGGGCATCTATAGTCCCAGCTACTCAGGAGGCTGAGGCAAGAGAATGACCTAAGTCCAAGAGCTGGAGGTTGCTGTGAGCTGTGATGCCATGGCATTCTAAAAACAAAAAAAAAAAAAAGAAGAATCTTCTCAGGCTCAGCGCCATAGCACCAGCCACATACACCAAGGCTAGAGGGTTTGAACCCAGCCTGGGCCAGCTAAACAACAACAACTGCAACAACAACAACAAAAAACAATAGCCGGACATTGTGGCGGGTGCCTGTAGTCCCAGGTACTTGGGAGGCTGGGGCAAGAGAATCACTTAAGCTCACAAGTTGGAGATTGCTGTGAGCTGTAACACCACAGCACTCTACTAAGGGTGACAGAGTGAGACTCTGTCTCAAAAAAAAAAAAAAGAATCTGATCTGAGCCAGCTGCAATGGCTCATGTCTATGATCCCAGCATTTTCAGAGACCAGGACAAGGAGACTGCTTAAGACCAGGAGTTCAAGATCAGTCCAGGCGACACAGGCTAGACCCTATTTCTACAAATCAGCGAGGCATGGTAGTGCACTCTTGTAGTCCAGCTACTCTGAAAGATGAGACAGGAGGATGGCTTGAGCCCAGGAGCTGGAGTTGCAGTGAGCTATGATGACACCACTGCACACTTGCCTGGACAACAGAGAGAGACCCTGTCTCAAAAATAATAAAACATAAAATAAAAAATGTAAAAAAATAAAAAGACTCTGATCTGATCGCAAAGATATTAAGTGGCATAGCTAGGTTTTTAAGCCTAAAAGTACACATTCCAAAGTGTGGACTTATAAAGTCCACATTCTCAATCACCAAACCAAACTGCCTCTAACTCTTTTCCCCAACCTGGCCCCCCTTTTCCTTTTGCAGCCTCATCTCTGGTCACCCCATTCCTTCCCACACTCTGCACGTCTCTTAATTAGCCATTTATTCGAGGACACATCTTATTCCCCCAGGTCTAATCTATTACACTTGAAATGCCCTTTACCCCTTCTTTGTCCAACAGGCAAATTCCAACTAGTTTTTCAAGGCCTGGCTCAAGGACTCCATCTTTCAAAAGCCTATTCTAATAGCCTTGGGCAGAAGTAATTATTCTCTTTAGAGTTCCCAAAGCATTTTACACAGTGGCTCCCTTACAGGGCTCGTGTAGCATCTGCTCACACAGTCCGGACAACTAGTGTGTGCGACCCAGGGAGGGAGATCTCATCTTAGAGTTCTATGCATTTCCTGTGCCTAGCACAGCATCTACCCTAACTGTGATCAATAAGTAAGCCAATTAGTCAATTATCCTGATAGAAGATGTTATTATAGTGATAAAAACAAAGTTGAGAGTGATTAGATGACTTTCTACTGGGAACATAACAGGTAGCATGACGGGGATGTAACAGTGGTCTTGTGCTGAACTCAAGGGTCCTTCCCTAGCCAGTGCTCTCTGAGTAGTCCAGTTCAGAGAGCACTGTACAATGATGACATGTTTTGCTGAGTATGCTGCAGCGGTTGTCACAGTCTCATTCAGATATTCTTTGTCTTTCACACTTTATGTCTGGGCCCTAATTTTATCCTTCTAAAGTAGCGAGTATGGTACTCAGTGTTGTGTCATTCAGTAAAAGTGGGACACTAAAATCAGTTTACTTAAAGGAAAAAGTTATCTATAGAAAATCAAGCTCAACATCAGCAATTTAAAATATATACCCCATCATTTTCAAGAAAGTTTATTGTACTAATCTATATCCACCTGCTCCCCAGTACTACCTCCTAGACCTACCAAAACTAACCCCAGCATAAGACTTAGAGCAGGAGATTCAACCATTTTTTAAATTTATTTTTTATTTTTATTTATTTATTTATTTATTTTTGAGAGAGTCTCACTATGTCGCCCTCAGTAGAGTGCTGTGGCATTCACAGCTCACAGCAACCTCAAACTCTTGGGCTTAAGTGATTCTCTTACCTCAACCTCCTGAGTAGCTGGGACTTACAGGCACCCGCCACAACGCCTGGCTATTTTTTGGTTGCAGTTGTCTTTGTTCCCAGGCTCAAACCCGCCAGCTTCAGTGTATGTGGCTGGCACCCTACTCACTGAGCTACGGGTACCGAACCTCACTGACAGCTAAGTGCTCAAGAAGCATCATGCGCTTTACAAGGCATTTTTAAGCACTATCTCAGCAGAAAATGTAGGATCTAGAACTCAGCTCTAAATGATGAACTCAGCTGTAAATAATGTACATACAATAAAACATCTATAAATCAGCCTCAAAAATTTTTTAATAAAGAGTCCACAATCCTGCATTGCTCACTACATGTTTTATAGCTAAATATACTAAAATTGAAGAGATGTATCACAGAATATAATTCCCCATAATCTCACTTGATGTAACAGCCAAATATTAAACATAACTGCACTAAAACTAATAGTCTTTAATTAATTATGTAGTATTCTAATCTTAAATAATAATCTTTATGAGGGGAAAAGGACCAATTAGCAATTATGAATTACAGGATATTTTAAAATAAAAATGTAAGATAAAATAGTAAAAAACTAAAACAAACAAGTCCATTAAGCACTATACATTAATTTAACAGCAGGCAAATATTTGGTTCCATGATTCTAAAACACAGGTAAGAATTTGCTAAAATGGAGATACTTAAACTTATAAATGACTAAGAGCAGTAGCAATATTCTTTTCTTTTGAGGTTAAATATTTCTTCTGAAATCTCCTTCATGTTATTTAGCAAGCCTTTTTCTCCTTTGATAGAAAAGCAAATATTACTCCAACCTGTTCTGAATATATGGGGATCCAATTTAATAGAATGCTAGTTTACTGTTGTTTTTCTTTCAAAATAGAATCCTTCATGAAAACAACTGTGAAAGACTTCTAGGATTAACAACTTGGGGGACTGGAATTGTATTGGTTATTCTGTTATTTTCTAGGACTTTCTGTTACTTAATCTAGGACTATAATAAAAAAGTGTCTGTATCTACTATAATAACTCCCCCAAACACTAAAGTACAGTAACGGTCCTATTTAAACAACATAAACAACAGGTAGACAATCTCTAAAAGACTTTTCAGAAATGAACACACAGGAATATAGCAGTAAAAAAATGTACAATTATAGGAGCAAGGTGATTAACCATCAGTTATTTAGCCATACCTAGAAATCAGGAATAGATACAGAAGCAGGGAGGATCAGGGAGAGGAAAGGGAATGGTATCCTGGGGTCCTAGGAAAGTGTTGTCAAAGCTAAGTCAGAGGAGAGAAGGGAAAAAGAAACACAGGCCAAAAATATTCAACAGAAAATAAGACAAAAGCAGTCTCTTAATCATAATTGAAGTATTCGACTGACTAAAGATATCTTAGTTGTATCCAATTTGTAAAGACAAAGTACACTGCAGAGCAATTGTCCTACCCTTGCAATTTTTTTTATCGCTTTAAAAAATAGAATCCAATTGGAAAAGAAAAAATTATTATTTTTAAATTTTGGAATGTTACGGGGCTACGCGCATTTTGGTTACACAGTTTGCTTTTGTATAATTCAAGTCAAGGTTATGGGTATTCCCTTCACCCGGGAAGTCTCTGATGCACCTATTAGTTGTGGATTTACCCATCCTCTCCTCCCCTCTCCAGGAAAAATTATTAAACCTGTCTCTATTCTCTATTTTTAAGTAGCTTTACAAAAAGCGTCATAGAAGATTTCTTTTCTCATTAGAGCTACATCCAACCAATGAAACAGATGTCTCTGAAAGTAACCAAAAGAAAACCTGAAAATTTCTATTTGGATTTCTATAAAATGTTGATAGAGACGTTCATCAGTTTTCTTAAGTTAAAAGTATAGCCTGCAGGCCAGGAGGGAAAATAAAACCCTGGGGACTCTTCTAACGCTACAATTACAGTGACCTGTCCACATCCTTACGTATGGTCTTCTAACTGAAAAGGCCAGCACTGGACATAAGCCAAAGTGAGTCTCCACCTCTCCCCTGCACTGCCAAGCAGAGTACTGGGCAGGAGATGATCGTCTTGGCTGTCCATTCACGTATGTATGTACACATGTATCTAGCAATTCATTCATCATTTTAACTTTAAGGACTTGTAAGTAGAACCTGCGAAAGAACAGACGAACATGTATCTACCTACCTTAGGTTTGTCTTAATATACTTCTTCCTGCCACATTTGCTCATTATTATAACATATGTAATCAATCCTTCGCTCCTTTCCTCTTTATTTATCCTGCAGTAAAATGATAAGAGAGAGATCAGAACATTTTATTTTAAAAAAGAAAAAAAAAAAACCTAAAACCTCTCAAAACTAGGCCAGGAAGAATATTCTAATTTCTATAAAACTAAAAAGACTAGAAAGCTAAAAAAAAAAAAAAAAAACTCTGTATTGATTTTTTTTAAAATCTTACTTCTGTACTCATCTTCCTAGAGAACTTCACAGAATTTAAATGATATATTTTTTTCTCAGATTATTTTCTAGTGAAAAAAGTGCTATCTAAATTATTGGGTTTTTTTTTTTTTGAGACAGACTCTCACTGTGTCACTCTCCATAGAGTGCTGTGGTGTCCTAGCTCACAGCAACCTCAAACTCTTAGGTGATTCCTTTGCCTCAGCCTCCTGAGTAGCTGGGACTACAGGTGCTCATCACAACACTGGGCTATTTTTAGAGATGGGGTCTCACGCTTGCTCAGGCTGGTCTCGAACCTGTGAGCTCAAGCAATCCACCTGCCTCGGCCTCCCAGAGTGCTGGGATTACAGTGATGAGCCACTGTGCCCAGCCTTTGTCTAAATCATCTAATACACACGATGTATAACTCATAGGTATCAGCCCTATTTTTAAAAGATAATGATCATTAAATAAGCTTCATGAGTTTATCATTTTCTTAAATTTCACTCCATCACAGTAAGATTTTCAACCATCTTTCACTCGCAAAAAATTCAAACCTCGGTTTTGTCAAAGAATTTTACTCCAAACAAAATTATCGGAAGTTTATTCAAAACCTTCTTCTGATGATGTTCAATCCATTTAAGACACTGTAGCAATTAAACGCCCTTTATTACTGACATCTTTTTATTATATATTTGACATGCGGAATGAAGTAAAATCGGCAAAGAACAGAACAAAAGAATATCTGAGAGTCCTTAATTTATTTTAGCACTGGAAAGAACCTCTGAGCTCATTGCTCAGTCCCTTCTAGGAATCTATGCCAGCCACAGCGGTGCTTGGTCACAGACACACTGCTTTCAAGGTCCCTCCGGAGCGCCTCCTCTGAAGTGGTGTCATGGTATCATACGACCCCCACCAATTCTGAAATTGTAGACAGCAGGCAGGTTTGCCGCACCTCCTTCAAGGCCCTAAAACCACGGTCACTGCTGCTACCATCTGCCCCCAGCAGAGCGATGAGATTGCGGGCCACTTGAACCAGGCAACCCACAACACGAGCAAAAGGCAAGGGCAGTGCAACTCCCTGACATTAAACCTTATTCTGTGTTCTATTATGCTAGCATCTTACATAGGGACATCTTATATGCTTTGAAAACTGTACCACCAAGAGTGAAGGGACTGTTTGTTTATAAAACAGTGATCTGCGCCCAGTGTGTGCCAGACCCTCGCACTGGGCACTGAGATGCAGGGGGACGAGCGGCTCTCCAGGAGCCATCAAAAAGGGGACAGATGTGTAAGCACTCCTGTGCATCACAGCACCACGTCACAGAAGTAACTGCTTCTTTCTACACTTCTCTTGGAGAGTCATTCATTATGGTTCAAAGGAGAAAAAGGTATTCAGCGCAGTCCAGGAATGGCCACTCACTTCCTCTTCCCAGAGGGAACCAACACTACAGAAAGCACCAGCTTCCTGCCGCCAGGGCCACAGGACGCCACATGAGGAAAGCCAGCCTCATACCAGAATGACAAGATAACTTGCCCCTGGCTCGGGATCATCGGGGAACGATTTCCTTCCAACTATCCTCTGAAGAGGTCGTCACTGACTGACTGCCAGACCTAAAAGGATACACCCCTCCATTTCCTGCTCCCCGTGAAAATTCTGCCCTCCTTTAATTATTCATCATCCCTTTCATGCTTTTCTTTCAAATCATCCAGCCCTTTGTTCCATCTTTGGCCCACACTTTGATAAAAAGATTGGTATTCCCCAGGTCACAACAACCTCCTTCACACATTCTCCCTGGGCTACTTCGTCCTTATTTGATGAGTCTCAAATGTTGTCTCCAGCCTAAACCTCTTCCCCTGAGCTCTAACCCTGCATTATTAGAGATTTCTTAATGGTCTGCACACAGAGCCTCAAATCCACAATGTTCGAAGCTAGACTCAACTAAACCTCCCCTGCTTTGCAGCTCTCTGGGACTGACATCACCACTGACTCAGCCAACCTATCTGGGTGGAGAGGGTGGCTCCTCAGCCTTCATTCCTCAGAGTCAACAACGTGGTCTACCCATAATAGTATACTGGTGCATCTGAGGCTGAGCTGGGTGCAAACTGGAGTTCTAGCACTCACTAGCTGTGGGATCTCAATTATTTAATCTCTCCAAGCATCCTTTCCTGATGACACTGATCATGTCGTGAGGATGAAGAATAGTAACGAATGCAAAAATCTAACTGTGCTTGGAATACAGGCTGGGAACAGTGGCTTACTCAGCCCCAACAATTCTACCTCCTAAATATCGCCTGATTCTGCTCCATTTTCTCCATCCTCACTGGCACATGGTTCTGAGTGTCATCTCTTGACACAAAGCAGTAACAATCTCTCCTTATAATGACTTTACCTCGCTCAAATATCTCAACCTCTTATAATCCCCTCTATTCAACCACAGCACTCTATGTGAAAAAGACAGGTTATTTCCTTACTCAGAATCCTCTCATGGCTCCCCTGGCCTTACAGATAAATATCTTCAGTTCTAAGTATTCTAATTCGAGGTACTTGGTAGAGGCTTAATAGTTTGTAATAAAAGCATTCAGATTTTAAGGCATGCCCTTTCCACTATATCAATATCCCAGGTTTAAACTTACATTATGTGGACTCAAATGCTGTCTGTTATTGATCTCATCCTCAGTCTGGTTTACTGAGTAGCCAAGGGCTGAATCTAACACTCCCACCTGCCACAAATGGTTAAGAACTTGAACATCTTTTTTTTTTTGAGACAGAGTCTCACTTGGTCACCTTTGGTTGAGTGACATGGCGTGATAGCTCATGGCAACCTCAAACTCTTGGGCTCAAGCAAATCTCTTGCCTTAGCCTCCCCAGTAGCTGGGACTACAGGCACCCACCACAGTGCCCGGCTACTTTTTAGAGACGGGGTTCTCACTCTGGCTCAGGCTGGTCTCGAACCTATGAGCTCAGGCAATCCACCCTCCTTGGCCTCCCAACTGCTGGGATTATAGGTGTGAGCCCAGCCCTAAACATCTTTATTATGTTCTTATGATGGGCTTAATACACTATGAAAATACTCCATTTAACCTAAAACATGGCCCTTGAATTCATTATTGTGTTTCATGGTATAGTCTCTGGTTATATCATTATACCTAAATTAACAAAGGATACTGATATAATGCCCTGTATACTACCAATTTCCTGCAAAAATAATTTAAAGTACCATCTGCCAAGGGACTCTTAAGCTTTATCTTTTACAGCAGAAAGGCAGATTTTAGACTAGTTTATGCCATGTACACCATGGAATACTATTCAGCCATTAAAAATGGAGACTTTACAGCCTTTGTATTAACCTGGATGGAAGTGGAACACATTATTCTTAGTAAAGTATCACAAGAATGGAGAAGCATGAATCCTATGTACTCAATTTTGATATGAGGGCAATTAATGACAATTAATGGCATGGTAAGGGTAGGGGAAGGGGAGAGCAGAGAGAGGAAGGAGGAGGAGGAGTGGGGAAGGGAAAAGCAGAGAGGAAAGGAGGGAGGGGGTGGGGTCTTGGTGTGTGCCACACCTTTTGGGGGCAAGACACGATTGTAAGAGGGACTTGACCTAACAAATGCTATCAGTGAAACCTGGTTTCTTGTATTCTCAATGAATCCCCAACACTAAATTTTTTGAAAAATGAAAAAAAAAAAAAAAAAAGAAATGAGTTCCAAAATTATTTTGCCTAGATACAAATTTCTGTGCCATATTTGGATACTAACAACAACTTTCCAGCATAGATTAGGTCTGATTACAAAAGTAATATTTGGTATTCACCTTACTTTTCACCAGTCTATTGCTCTAGTCACCCTCTGGTATAACAGTTATGATTAATTTCATTGTTTTCTGCATCATTCGATATATAGCTCTATACAAGTGATATTTAAAAGATTATGTTATCGAGGACATTTAGGGGACAGATGGTGCAATGTGATTATGGACATTATATTAAAAAGAGCATAATAAATCACATGTTGCAAAATGATAATATAAAAATAAGTCAATAAAATGTACTCATTAGAGAAGGATAGCATAAAAGTTACACTTACTTTGTCCTTAAGATTCTTTAAAAGGATAAAAAAGAGGGTGGCGCCTGTGGCTCAGTGAGTAGGGCGCTGGTCCCACATACCAAGGGTGGTGGGTTCAAACTTGCCCTGGCTGAACTGTGGGCACCTGTAGTCCCAGCTACTTGGGAGGCTGAGGCAAGAGAATGGATTAAGCCCACGAGTTTGAGGTTGCTGTGAGCTGTGATGCCACAGCACTCTACTAAGGGCAACATAGTAAGACTCTGTCTCAAAAAATAAATAAATAAAAATAAAAAATAAGTTTATAGCTAAACAGTTTGAACATATCCTCTGCTATGGTTAATTACATCAACATCTTAACATAACTTTCTGGAAAAAAATAAGTATTGTCCTTAGCTAAGAACTGAACTTCTTGGGTAACTTTGCTAAAATATAAATGCTTACTAACCCAATTTCCAGCTCACCAACCAACTTTCCATATTAATCTATATTCTCCACTCATTCTGTGAAACCTACAGTTTAGCTACCGCCCACCCAAGTTCTCTAGTGTACCCAAGGGCTCTGTCCCTACCAACAGGATGTAGGCTTACCCAGAGTTAGCTGTGTTTATCACTAACCCAGATTATGCCAACCATATGAGGTGCCAGTTGTGGATTCTGCTAAATAGTAGATTAGATGAAATGATTAAGTAGATTAAATATAAAAAGTATTGTTCCTCTGAAAACTAAGTTGAATGCTTTGGAAAGACGACAAAGGCAACCGTTTTTTCTTTAAAA